AATACACATGAACAATTATACATATATATGGCAATGATCAGAGATATGCCGACAAAAAAAATAGAAAGGGGGTTAATAATAAAAGCAAAAAAATTTCAATAGCATCTCTTTTTAATGGCGTGGTTTTCATTTTTACGTACATGTATTATCGTTTTTAATTTTTTCAGCTGGCACAAGTTCAGATCATTTTTTAGGAGTGACTATATTTCTTTGATTTTGAACTCTTACCTATAATAAGGAACCATCTGTTACTTTGATGGATGTTATTGAGAAAACACTTCTAGTCCATCATTATATTGTGGAATTCAAGCGTTCTCAAGCAGCTTCTCATATGAATCTTTTGAATTTATCACTTTTCTTTATAATTTACGATAATTAATTAATTAATTGATGAATAAACTTTACTAATTAAATTTGATAACAGTAAAGTGATATCATTTAATTTCTCCCAATTTCTTAATAATATAAATGCTTTTCATGTAATTATAATTAATAATGAAGATAATTTGATTAAGTAAATCTGTCAAGTGTAATTAAATACGTTAAAAAATTATCTTATTTTCTCTTAAGATATTCTTGAAAACTTAAAATAATACTATTCAACTATAAGATCTAATATGCAGCAATTAGCAAGTGATCACTAAATCATTTAGATCACAATAAAAAAAATTAATACTGTAATAATTCTAGAAATAATAATATTGAACATAATGCACTTCACAACAAATTATTGGGACTCGAGAAGTTAATGTTTGTTACAAAAACTATCATCGTAATATTGGTTTAATTATTTTATTCAAATATTAATACGACAGGATGAAGACACGAGTTTTTTATGTTACTATTTTTGGCTTTTTTAGGATTATAATTAGAAATTGCATCAATAAAATCCAGACTCAAGTTCAGGTTTCACCCTGTGTATGTTAATTATTAGTTTTGTCGACAAAGCCGGACAAAATAGCAATTAAATATTTATACATTAAGAAGGTAGCCATTTAAATATATATTAAAGGAAACCAGAGTTAATATTTACTATTTGATCGCGTTATGCGAAATAGTTACTTGTTCAATTACAATTTAATTGCTATTTTATCGATTTGACCAGATAATTTTTATAGGTTATATTGATCTAATATAGTGAGAATAAATAATTTACCGTTATCATTTCTACATACCACTTTCGCCATAATTAATGAAATTTAAAATCCGAATATAATATAATAGTAGGTCTTGATATAAGAAATGTAATTTGTTGATATTCCAGATGCCTTTACTTTAATGAGTGTGAGTTGTAATCATTTTCTTATAAAATTTTAATTATAAAAATATTAGAGCTTAACAGGAATAATTATTACAAAAAGCTTCATCTTTATGCATTAATAATAATATCTTTAATTCACTGTTAATAGTTAAATATTTTTACAATTTGAAATACTTCATATTCATCAAAAGAAATCCAACCATCTACATATCTGATTGGTTTATCATATGAAGTCTTAAAAAAATAACATTCTTTAAATTTACAAGATCTTTACCACCAAACAATGTACCTTGTGATATTTTACCGTAACGAATTGCTTTTGATTGATTACTTACATGACTAAGAATAGATTGATTAAGGTTTCCATTTTTTAAGGAGAAAATAAAGCTATCAGCTGTTTTACTGTACGTCCAAATGCCGACTTTCCAAATCAAAGGATTATAACCACCACCAAGTATTTCGTTTGTATTATTAATCTTTATTACAGTCACAGTACCAGGTATATTATTAATCTTTATTACAGTCACAGTACCAGGTATATTATCACATAGCCTATGAAATGTTTCACCATTAAACCCATCCCTACTGCTCCTAAATAAAAGTTTAAATTCATATGGTAGTAAAATTGTAGAAGTAATAGATGTCTTTGGATCTAAAGACGTTGAAATAATACCGTCCTATATATTCTCATAAAGTATTTTATGATAAGGTTTAATTTTCTTTAAAATACAGTATCTTTACCAGGAATTTGAAAGTATCTAATGTGAGGAAGATAGTTTTGAAAGGTAAAACTTAAAGACTTAAAATTATCATAGGTCTATTCTTTATGGTAAATTTGGAATTTTTTCTTTTCCCCAAAAAATTACTTTATCCCAAATTTCTGATTCTTCCATTTGTAACTCGTCATTCTTTATAAGAGAAATCAAAGCATTCTATTCTCTTGGATAGTGGTAAATTTTTCAGGGTTAAATATCATACTTGGATGTTTTGCGATAATATTATTACAAAATCGTTGCAAAGGTTTCGTCAAGAAAGCTTGTTTTATAAACACGAAAAAAATTTAAACGAAACCAAGATGCATTGTTATCAATAAGATGAGATTGAAGACATTTAGCTAATTCTATAAGCTTAAGTTCGTTGGCAGTAACTAAGAGATCAAATATTCATATTTTTCTAAAGAAACTATACCGCAATAAATATATTTTTGTAATAGTAATGGAGATCAAAATACGTAATTATTAATTTTTCATAATAAATAACAGATAAATAAAAAAATTATAATATATAACTTACTTAATAATATTATTAAATAATTTGACAAAAACATGAGGTAAATTAACTTCAATGATATTGTTTTTCTTGATCACATTTTCTAATTTTTGACGAAAGTATAAAGAACGTTGATATAAGATTGCTGAATGTGTATTAAAAAGTTGAATATCGGGTTGTTCTCCAACTTCAATTATTACATTATAATCGTATTCGCTTTTTAAAAGCTGTGTGTAAAGTTTTGAGAAAGCTGTTCGAAAAATTTTTAAATTCATTGGTTTTTATGATTGTGATAACCATTAGCGTTAGCGTACTTATATGTAGTGCGAAAATTAAACTACACATAACAGATAAAGGTACGTATGTACCGGACCACCCTGTTACAAATATTAAGAGTATTAAATTTGCTCTTAATATTAGTATTAGCCTATAGTCGTAGCAAAATAACTATCATATTTTAATCATCTAAAAAAAA